TCCCCGCCCCCGCCGGGGCCCGGTTAGTGCCAAGGGACGGGGTGCCCGAGGTTTGGGGGCTCCGGGTGGTGCAGCAGCCGGTTGCTGAGGGGTTTTGTTTGCTGGTTTGTTGCTTTGGTTGGTTTTGCGCTGAACAACCTAGAAGCAAAGGCCTTGGTGGTCGTCCATCTGTCCGTCCATCTGTCCTTTCGCGGCACGCGTGTCCTTCCGCAGCAGCGAGAGGCTGATGGGTGCCAGGAGAATTGCTACCAGCGGGTTTCTGGGCCGTTGAAGGGCTTTCTGCGGCTCTCGAGTGGTGACGAACGGACAGGGGTTCCCATATTTCATCGCAGAAAACAGTTGGCTCGCCCGCAGTTCCACGAGGAATCGGTTACAAGGGAAGGGGACGCGGCCCCACCCGTGTGCAGGATGTCTCTGCGGAGGGATGGGCTCCCGCCACGCTCCCTGCGGGACCCTCACCTCGGTCCATGGGAAGGTGCCGGATCCCTGTGCCCCGTCACACCGTCGGCTGGGTGTCGGAGGCTGAGAACGGGATCTGTGATGGCGGCTTACCGCCGGGTAGCGCTTTAGCCCGAGTAAACCCCATGCTTCTTGTGTGGGGTGGAAAGGCGCTCCGAGGGCTGGCGTTTGGAGGCTGCATTAAAACTTGGTATGAGCGGGCTGCCCCAGAGATCGAGAGCCAGGGGCCTGGGAGGGCTGGGCTACCTCGATGACAGCTCTTTCGAGGAAGAAGTTGCTTCATGCTAGGAAGCTGAGGTGACACCCGGGCCATTAAACTCAATGGGAGGGTTGCTACAGGAGTAAATAACGGGAGGGGTTTACTCTGACTCCGACTTTTACGACTCCAGCCAGCTAGCTTTTCAGCACCCTGTTTGTCGCTGCGGTGCCTGAACGCCTCTCAGCAGTGTGAGCTCTTCGAAGAGCGATGTCATTACGCACGTTGATATGGGCTCGGAGACCTGGTGTTAAGCATCGAGGCGGTGGTCCCATTTTGCAGCGGGTTTTAGCCCGCTGTGGGGACAGGAGTCCTCCTGCCTCTTGCACTCCAGGGGCTTTCAGTGCCTAATTTAACTGTAACTTTATCCCATTTCTCAAAACAGTTTTTGTGATTGCCTTTAAAATGGCATCATTTTTTCAGTAGCTTCTAAACAGCACCAGCCATAATTCTCCATCACAGTTCCTTGCTCTGTGACCCCCCAGGAGGGTGTCCGCGGTGCTCTGCCCCCGCTCGCCCCCCAGCACCCCACGTGGCTGCTGGAGAGGGCTGCGTAGTCACGGCAGCAAGGTCCCCTCTCTCCAGCCCCCTTCCCTCCTAAGCTCTCCCACAGCCTGTCTCTTTAGGTTTGACAGCTTTATCCATCTCGCTAGGCCAAACGGCTGATCTTACTGCCCTGCGCCTTTTCACAGTATTGCGTTTATTGCTATTTCTACAGGAAACACATGGATCCCTGTAGAAAGTACTAAAAATATGATGTAATAGTTTCAACACCCTACCTTAGGCATCTCAAACCTCGCAGAGCCTAGGCTTTGTGTTTACCAGAGGAGGGGTTCTCTGCTACTTGAGCCTTCTTTTTTCCTTTGTTTATATAGCTTATACTTATATGTGTAATTATAAATCTTTGTTTATATGGCTTATATTATTTTCCTATGTTTATATATAAACTCCTTTTAGCTCATTGTCGACCCCTGATTACCAGTTTACGTGTTGTGCAAGTTCCACCGGTGTCTTCTTGTGAGTTGTACAGTGTGAGTGAGGGAGAATCAAATACTTTGTGCTTGGACTGACAAAGTCTGCCTGTCACAATATAGAGGAGACAGCTGTGAATTATTGTGCCACTAGCGCATTCTAACCATGATGTTTGACATGATTCATTAAATTTTTTGTGCACTTGCATTATGTAAGCTGCCTTTACAGGACAGCGTTTTCCGTTGATTGGCAGACCCGTGTTCTAGGTTTATATTTGAAGAAAATCTCTTCCTGTTCTCCTTGGCATGGTTTCCAAGCCATTGGCTTAACCAGGCTTTATTGTCACCTTTCTGCTGCCTTGGATGTCATCACACTTTGCAGAGTGAAAAGGATGCCAAACTGACGTGAAGCAGAGAGAGAGAAGCAAAAGGTAGGCAGAGACACAAAATTCTCAGACTGACGTGGCCACTCCAGTATGCTCAAACCAGAGCAGCAGGAGGTGGTCACTTCTGCTGAAAACAAATATGAAAATAAACCCCAAACCAACCCCCTGAATAAGGAAAAAACAAAGATACTGCAAGTGATGTGAGGAATTCAACAGAAAAGAGAGAGCAGGATCTACAGAAAAAAGACAGAGCAAATCTGTAGAAATTTTACAAAACCTATCATGGTAGATTGATTTTAAGGCCAGAAAGGATCACACTGCTCTTCTGCACTGACCTCTGATCACGTTGACAAACTTTTACTCCAAGCCTACGATATATACCTATATACCTATTACTTAATTTATTATTAAAGACACTTGGGTGCTGCAGCAGTAGGAGCTGACTAAAATCATGTAAAGAATAGACTAGAAAATGTTGAGACTGAGCTACAACTTATCTTTAATTACATCAGATTTTGGCCTGAAAGGTATAAGAACCAACCATAATTGGCCCTTGTTTTTTTTTTAACCAGGTGTCTAGACAGAGTCTTCAACACTTTTCCTCCCTCTAAACCTGTCTTCTAAGACCTGAGGTTTCCAAATTGACACTTTTTAAATAATTTACTCCTGTAAAACCAGTAACTGGTGGGAGAAGGTAAGTGGTCGCTGGTTTTGATCAATTCAAAATTATTTATAATTTGGATGCTTCACTTTGTATTCAAGCCAGCCCTCTCTGTACAAACGTGCTCCAAGCCTTTATGCATTTAGTCAGTCTGGCATCGTAGGTCAGCTGAAACAGGTGATGTCGAGATTTGCCTCAAGTGTTATCTGCCAGACTAAACAGTGCTCTCTCTTCCATCAAATTTTTAGCTATGTGGTATATGTGTGTGTGTATTTTCCTCTGACACTGTGACTGATTGGAATTATACTGTAGCAAATCACAAAACTTCAGCTTGTGGGAGTATCTTCTCTTTCCAAGTACCCCTTTTTGCTTTCTAATCCACCTTCAAGGTTGACCTCTGTGTTACGTACCCACCTCAGCACTGTATGAGGGGGTCCCTTTTCTGCTGGGGGCTTGTTGCCCATCCAAATATTCCTATGTTGGTCTGACTGACTTCTAAGGGTCCTGTCCACCAGTTCTCTGTCACTAGCCAGCTCTCCTCAGAAAAGCTGGGCTGGAGAGGGAAGCCACAGAAATCCACACTTTTTGCGAAACAATCACGTTCCCAAGAGCATCAAAAATCTCTTGCAGTGGAGGGAGCGACTAAAAACTGCTGACTAATGTGACTACAAAGCAATCAAAGAAAGGAGGAGAGACAGTGAACTGCCTGGATCCCAGGTCTTCAACCCAGAAAGGATCCAGCAGATGGACGTGCTTGGCGCAAACATATTCTGTGAGACGGGCTGAGCAGGCAAAGCTGCCATCAACCTCTCGTGGCCATGAACCCTTCACCCCATTGGAGACCCACTGCCAGCGAGACAAAGCTGCTTTCTGTAACTCATGCATTCCATCACACCTGTTTGTGCACTTTCTTCTTGGGGTAAGTCTGTGCCAGGCCTGAGCGATTTCAGAGTGAGCTTCCTGGGGGTCAGGGAGGAGCAGGGAGGGATTCTGGCAGCTCAGCCACAGCATGAGCTGATGGGGGAGATCTGCTGGAAGGACACTGTAATGTCTACAGGCTTTTCTGTTTCAGCATGTCTATTCTGTTTCACCTGGTTGCTTTATCTGCATGGAGAAGGATGACTATAATTGTTTATAGCCATATAAAACCCGACTTATGGGAGTTTAAAAGCTTTCCTTTTTTTTTTTTTGCTGAACACAGTACAGGTGATGACTGAGGCCTGTCCACCTCAACATTTTAGCTGAGTCGTGGTGGTTTTACTCGCTGTAAATCCTGACAGCTCACCGGAGCACCCAGCCATGCTGTTTCATGAATCAGAGTATGCAGATGCGAAAACTGACGTGTCCGTAACTTTGTTAAGGGTGGCCATGGTTTTCGAGGCATTGCTGTCACCTTACTGGATGTTTACAAGTGTCTGATTTTGAGTTCTGCTTCCTTTAGAGTGACTCTTCCAGAGAACAACGGTGGTCCTTCATGGTCAGCCTTTGGTAAAATACTGAAACGCAAAAAGCAAATCTCTTTTGTGGTTCGTCTGATGTTGTTGGGAATGGCTGTGTTCAGATGAACGTGTGTAGTCAGAAGGCCCCAGCATACGGCATCCTTGCTGTTAGTGTTCCATGGGGAAGCAAAGTGCATTATTTTCCTGAACTAACACTAAGAAGCCTGTCACAAATTGCTCTTCTTGCAGAACTGACAAGTGAGTAGCCACAAGCAATTAGGGAAGGGGACAGGAAATGTGTTCAGGGTATGGATTTGGGGCTTTTTTGAAGAAAGGTGCTGACAGTCGGTTGTGTCAGAGAGAAATCTAAAAGGTGGTGCAATACTCTCCATTGCAATGTATTGATTGCAACAATGGCGAAATGACAAATATGAAATAATGAATAGTAGGAAGGTATGTATTGCCATTTATATTTTTATAAAACCTGCTTTTCTTCTGTGAGTCTAAAAGTCTTCTGGGCATCTTTGCAGTATTCAGTACGGGTGAAGAGCGAGACACATCTGCAGAATCACAGAAGGGCTGAGGTGGCAAGAGGCCTCTGGAGGTCATCTTGTCCAATCCCCCTGTTCAAGCAGGGCCACCTAGAGCTGGTTTCCCAGGACAATGCTCAGAGAGGTATTTAATATCTCCAAGGATGGAGACTCCACAACCTCTCTGGGCAACCTCATAGCAGAAAAGTGTTTCCTGATGTTCATAGAATCATAGAATGGTTTGGGTTGGAAGGGACCTTATAGATCACCTAGTTCCAACCCTCCTGCCATGGGCAGGGACACCTTCTACCAGACCAGGTTGCCCAAAGGCCCATCTAACCAGGCCTTGAACAATTCCAGGGAGCGAGCTTCCATAGCTTCTCTGGGCAACCTGTTCCAGTGCCTCACAACCCTCATAGTAAATAATTTCTTTCTTATACCTAATCTAAATTTACCCTCTTTCAGTTTAAAGCCATCACCCCTTGTCCTATCACTACATGCCCTAGTAAAAAGTCCCTCTGCAGCTTTCTTGTAGACCCCCTTCAGGGACCCTCCTCTGTTTCATTGTGTGCCCATTGCCTCTTCTCCTCTCACTGGGCACCAGTAAAAAGAGCCTGGGTCTGTC